ACATGCTCTAAATTCTCATCAACTTCTCTCCCAAGCCTGGGGGCAGGGGGGGGGGGGGGACGGACAAGTCAGAGGTGAGTGAGATGGCTCAGTGGGTAAGGGCATTTACTACCAAGCCTGATGATCTGAGTTTGATTCTGGAACCCATGTGGATAAGCAGCTCCAGTTGTCCTTTGACCTCTACCTCTCTCTAGAGCAAGTATTTGCATGCATGTGCACATGCAATGAATATACAAATATAATTTTAAAAGTTTAAGACAACCCAGCCCTGAAAAAACTCAGCCAAGCACAGTTGCACCTCTGCACCTGTGTATTTCCCCATCTAAGGATTCAACCAACTCTGGATCACAAAAGCTGTGCAGACTGAGCATGAACTGACTTATAGTTGTCAGCATTCCCCAAAACAGCAAAGTCTAACAGCTACTCAGGTGCCATTTACACTGTAATAGGAATGGATCTGGCAGCCCGTGTCATCTGGAGAATACAAAGCATGAGGGCCACACACTAATACAGGGCATTTTGTACCTGGAACTAGAGCATCCAGCCTTAGGTTCTGGTACCTATGGGAGTATTGGCACCAAGTGAGGGTGAGAAGGTCCCCAGGAAAGAGACCCGACACTCTGTGTGGGCTCTCCTAGGAACTGAGCTAACTTTAAAGTATGTTAAAAGTTGTGTTGACTGTTCAGAAGTTAAATTAGAAGACATATTAGGAAGAAATTGAGCAATATGATTAGTGGCAGCATGATAAATCTGGCCCACAGCTCTATAATCCTTCTAAGCCTGAGCTCAACTCCAAATCCTGACACCATTCCAATAAACTTCCATTTGCCAAAAAAGAAGTCATAACCCTCAAAACCAACTGATTCTTGAGATTCAGATGGCTTTACATACGAACACAGAAAAACTCTTCCCAAGAGATTTTAAGTCACAGCTAATCAACAATGTGGCTGTCCCTGTCCCTGTCCCTCACAGCTCCCCACCGGCCCTGCTCTTCTCAGAGCTGAACCCTGTCCCAGACTAAAATGTTCTCATCCTGAGCTGCACAAGTGCATGCCCTGTAAAGTTCACCTGTCATCAATCAGGGCTTTTAAAAAAGACTCTGAGTTATACAGCCAAGCACCTACCATAGCCCAAATGCATACTGCCTAAAGCTGCCGACTTACAAGCCAAGCTCATTAGATTGAGAAAATTCAGATTTCCACTCATTTCAAAAATTGAAGCTAGGTGTAAAGAAGGATGGTGATTTGGAGAGACTAGACTGGTCTACACAATGAGACCCTATGGGGAAAACAACACTGAAAACATAATTGGAAGATTGGAGTGCCCCTTAGCCTAAGTCTGGCCCTCAAGAGAGCCTTAACCATGACTGCAAAGCTCACCAGGCTGCATGCTGCTTCAAAGAGCACTCTAGGCAGCTGACTCCAGGGCAGCTTTTAATCTGTACTGCCACTTATAACCACCCACCTTCTGGTGCCCACACATCCCAAGGACTGCAGTGCTGCCAAGACATGGGGAAGGGCCTAGGTCCTGCCATGGATGAAATGACAGACTCTGTAGTTCCCCCCAAGGAGGGCTTCACCCTCCCTGGGGAAGGAAGTGGGGATTGAGCTGGGGGTGGGGGTGGGGCTGGTGGAGGGAGAATGGGGGAGCTGGGATTGACATTTGAAGCATGCAAGTTTCTAATTTAAATTAAAAGAAAAAAAAAGAACCATCTTCCCCAGAGGGTCAGAGCTTGTTTACCTCCCCACTCCCAAATCACCATTAAAGGCTCTGGACAGCAGTCACCAGCCAAGGCCTTGAGCACAGAGGTGATCCCTAGAGGCTATAGCGCAGGTCAGTGAAACTGAAATAACCTCAGGCCAATCTCCAAAACTTGCATTTTAAAAAGCTAGTATTTTCATGAAAGTACCTCCCCAAAGAAAATATCTTTTGGGGGTGGTATTTGGATATCTTACTCTTCCTCTCTTTCTCTCTTCCCTCCTTCCCCTCCTTCCTTTCTCCTTCTCCAACTCCTACACCCCTACCAAGCTGGCCTCAAGCTCCCAGTAATCAATCCTCCAGTCTCAGCCTCTGGAGTGGGATTTGAGGTGTGAGCCACCCAAACAGCTTCCACATATTCTTTATTCTCCAAGAGCACTGCCATAGCTTATCTAAAATAAGAACTGATGTTGTCAAAAAGACAGAGAAATTTACTCGTTTCTCCTTTTTGCAACAACTAATAAAAGGCAATCCAGTCAGTAGCAGGCCAAACTAATAGCTCCAACCACCGGAGAGAGGAAAACTCCTATTCATCTCTCCTTATAAAGCAAACCATAGAAAAATGCATTAAGTGAATGTTAGGGGGATAGGGGAGGGGGGCGAGAGGACACGACTTTGCAGACCTAGAGGGAAAACTTTACCAACAAAACATCTGTCCCCTAGTGAGGAACACATAACCTTACCATGTTCACTTCACCACATCTTTTAAAGAAACAAGTCTCAAGTGCCTTAGTTCCAGGTCATATAAAATGCAAGCAAAACAAAGCCATCTCTTCAAAGCTTGAGTTTACACAAACACAGACCTATAAATCTGCACTCTGGTTTGGGTTACTGACCATGAGGAGGACCAGGAAGCTCACGATGGAGGTTCCTTTGAGAGCACTTGAAATGTCATCACCTTAAATTAAACCATCCTGTGCTTCCAAATACTCCAATTTAATAAAACTCCTTGAAGTCATTCACCGTCGAGATAAAAATCAGCTGCCCTTCTATATATGCATCCTTGTCACTGAAATGCTATAGCAATAATAGTAACAGTAACAAAAAATGGCAAAACTAGAACAATGAAGCTGTCGAGAGCAGCACTGGGTACACCATTTAGCGGAACTCATGTAAGGTCCCGAATAATTTTGGGAAAAGTGCAAGAACAGCTAGATGGGGAGCAGGGCTCGGGAGGAGAGGGTAAACCTCCATTTTCCACCTGCAGGAGGGCTGGGCACAAGGAAGCGCTTAGGGATTATTTAAGATTAGCAGTCACAAGTTTTGTTACGAAATTTTTGCTTCAAATTTGACAAGTTGACAATGGAAGGGGAAAAAAACCACCAAAGCATGAAGAAACAGCCTGTCCCAGTAGACAATCTGTAATCCCAGCACTCTGGAGGCAGAGGCAGGAAGATCACTTCAAGTTCAAAGCCAGTTTGGGCTACATAAAGACCCTACCTCAGAACACAGGGGTGGGTATAGAATGGAGGGAGGGAGGGAAGGAGAGAGGGACAGAGGGGACAGATTGACTGGATGCAGGGTTTAACAATCTGTGTAAGGTTTCACAAATAAGTTATAACAAATGTAGTATACCATTGTAATATACCACAGTGTATTACATAAAACACAAGAAGGATTACTTCATAAGAATAGTCCTATTTAATAATTCATGAGATATTGCAGTGTTTCTAGTTCCTTTAACAAAACCTAACAATCTTCTAAAGTTTCCTGAGCCATGACATCATCCCAGACTGATGCCCTAAATTCCTATGCTTGAGTCATTCTAAAAAAAAAAAAACAACAAAAAATGATTGCTACATTTTAAATCCTTCCATATATTTAAAGACTTCCCCCAAAGTCATCTGATAATCAATATCCATCAAAACGCATCCTTGTTCTTTCAGACCAACTCACAAAACCCCTGAAAGACACGGCTAACCTAGGCGTGCAAGCGCAAAGCTCTGGAATTGTAAAAGCCCCTCCCCAAAATATTTCAATACAGCCTCGAGAAGCACTATCAGATTTACTTACTTTAATTTTGCCTGTGTGGAAAAATTACCTTCCTGGGAACTTTCAAACTATCTTACAGCAGTCTAGAAAAACTAAGAGACAGCATTTCTTGAAAATAACCATCTCTGATCCTGTACTATGCTTGATAAACTCAAGTCTTCCCCAGATCTAAGATAAAGTGTCAGTTCAGTTCTTGTGGCTGTAAAATGGGCATGCTCTGCACAGCCTTCTCGGAGAAAAGCAACTGGCAAGTGCTGTGAGCTTTATTAACACTTGTGTGCACTTAGGCCAGGAGAAAACTCCTCAGAGAACATCGCTGCGCCACAGATGCTAACCCTCTAAACCTCAGTGGGCAGCATCATTTCACCTGTGGACAGATGGCATACTGGGCAGGTTAAAGAAAAGTTAACAGCCATCCAGGGTACTTCTTCCTAAGAACATCTAATCTCGCAGTGAATTGCCTAGGATTTGTCTGCCAAGTATTCGAGTATTACTACAGGAGCAGCAGGTGCAGTCCTGAAGCCTAAAGTCCAGACTGCTTTTTAAAAGGCTTTTCTGTTTTAACGCTGTTGGCTGGAGAAGGAGAGGGAGAAAAGAAAAGAGAGAGAGGGAGAAAGAGGGGGAGAGGGAGGACTAGGGAAAGAACCACAATTCTACTCCCACCCGTGGAATGACAGCGGCAGGTCCACCCCCACAGGACTCTCGAACCTGCATGGGCATCGTCTCAACATTCCTCCCCCATTCCTTTCACCCTTCCCTCCCCACTTCAGCCCAGACAAAGGTGAGTCACCAGTCACTGTGCTGGGTCCACTTGTCACTTAGGTAAACGTCCCAAAACAAATTCTCGACAAAGGGCTACTTTAAGTAAAAGAGCAAATAACCTCGCAGTGAACCCCGTGAACTCCGCAGTGCTAATAAACCTGAATTGAAAACGACTCAAGTAAAGACGTCTTCTGGCCGAAGGGGGTAAAAAAAAGCTTTTCACTACTTAGCAGGTTCTTGCCCCCCCCCCGCCCCCGCGGCCTCATCTCCCGCAAGTCTTCTTCCCGCCTTGGCTCAGCCGCCGCGTACCGCAGCGCCCCACAGTCCCAGGGTCCGCCCCCGCCCGCGCCCGCGCCCCCTCCTCCGCCCGCCTCTGCACAAGGTGCTAACGTGAGGCGCCTGGAGGCCAGCTGGGGCTCCAGGGAGCGCGGCCACAGGAGCCGGGACCGCGAGAGGCGCCGCAGTCCCCGAGTCCCCGGGCCCCCTACCTGCTCGGCAGCCACGGTCCACACGGCGCTCAGCTCGGCAACTCGGAATCGTAGCTGAGGACAATCCCGAGGCAGATCCGATCTGCCGCCGCCGCCGCCGCAGAGCAGGACGAAGCAGCCCACTGCACCCGCCGCACCTCCCGCCTCTGCCCCGCCCCGGGGGTGGAGGCCCGAGGGGGCGGGGTCGTGTGGGGGCGGGAGATCGAGGGGCGGGGTCTCGTTGGGTGGAGCTTTCAAGAGGCGGGGCATATGGGCCTATGGGCCGAGAGTAACGCGGACTTGTGGATCCGGGCGTCTGCTGATGGATTGCCGAAAGAAAGGTCGTCTCAGAGCTCCCTCATTGGTTGGCAAGGACAAATACAGCAGAGCCCTGATTGGTATCAGCACTGTAGCTCCTCCTCCCCGTCCCCGCCCCGCTGCTGTGTTTGCCCTTGGCTTCTCAGGCCCAGGTGGCTGCAGGATGCGGAGCAGCAGGGAAGGTGGCAACCTAGGAAGAAAACTACAGATGATCCCTGCTCAGGATACAAGCTCTCCTAAGCCCCTACCATCTTTTGTTAACATCTCGTCTTCAATAGCATATTAATTTAGTAAGGTCGTTGGAATATATTTTAAATGCGGCATAAAATTCAGAAAGATGTGAGACAGGAAAGGTCACGGAATGTTTTCACCTTTGGTGAGAGTGGAAGTGAATTTCTTATTGCTAGACAGTGTTCCATACAGGGTAAGCATTACTTTCGTAATTGTTAATGAGACAAACTTTTTAAAATAGAAAAATGAATAAGGGAGGAAAATAGACTTTGGAAATGTGCAAGGGACTATTTCTTCCATGATAGAGGAAAATACAATATCTGCAGCTTCAGTCTCTTGGAGCATCTTATAGGATGGCTGAGATGTGTGCATCCTTCTGATATATTTATGCAACACATAAAATAACATGTAAGTAGAATTATTACAGCAGGACTGAGTGATACAAAGAATTTTGTACTAAATAAATAAATCTTTGGTCAAAAAGAAAAAAATGACATAGAAATTCAGGTGATACAGTAGAAAACTTAGCTGATTTGAAAAAATAAGCAAATGTGAGTTTCCTGGTGTGGACATAAACTTTGAAGATTAGAAGTCAGAGGAGGTGGGGGAGGGGTTTAAGGATCAATGGTCTGTGGTTAATCCAAGTAGTGGGAATGCTCACACACTTCCAGCCAGGCTGGATGTCTGACACCTTGGCCAGCTAAGGTGTGAAGCAAATTCCACTCTGGAATTCTCGAGAGCTGTGCTACCAATCTCACAAAGTCTGAATCAGGCCGTAGGAAATTAGGCACTTCTTCCTATAACTTCATGAACTAGGTAATAGTGAGAACAAATGGAGGAGGACAAAATACTCGTTTTTTGTTTGTTCTGGTGATCCAGAAGCCACAATCAAAGGTTTGAAGGGTATCATCCCTTTCCCCTCACTCTGCTCAGCTTGGCTCCCGGACATCCACCACCCTCGCTGTCTGGTGGTTCCGAGCCCCCACTCTCCTCAGGTCTTCCACCAGCTGGCTCTCCTGTCTGAAGCAGGCCTCTTCTGGAAGACTCGGTGAATGTGAGTGAATAAATGCACTGCTGCCACTCAGTGAGACTGTCATGACATCACCGAAACTGGTGGAATGGATGGTAGGTAGGGGCTGCCATTGTCCCTTCCGCAGAAATCTTGAGGGAAGGGATCTGATCCAGCAGGGGTTCCATGGTAGTATGTCCACCTAGCTGTCTGGGGCCCCTGGTTTGATCTCAAGCACTGAAAAAAAAATCCCCAGCTAGGGAGGCTCTGTACTACCTTCAGGGGAAGGAAATTGGACTCTCCATGCCCAGGATCCTCTTTCCAGTTCATAAAGAAAGGAGGAGAATACAGGGTTATCACATTCCCATCCGCTGAGCGCTGTCTCCCTGAAGGTTTATTCTCTGAGACCTGAACTTGTGCAAGCAGCTGCAGCTCCTCAGGACCTGGGCATTGTCTCTAGTTGTCACCTCTCCCTTGCTTTCCTGCAGTGTACTTTGTGTCCCTAAAAAACAACTTAGGACATGCCTTCTTCCCATTCGCAGAAGAAGAGCTGCTCCATCCTCTACAGACCCATTTCTCTGTTCCTTCTCCTCCACTCTATGCCAACGCCTGCATCCTCTCAGCTTAGATGGGTCAGGTCAAGTTCAGACACTCTAAACAGTGAGTTGCCCTTGCTGTCAACCAATGTCCCCCTCCAATGAGATTAGGGACAACACTATAGATGTTATAAGACTGACAACATTGCTTCTTCAGAGTAAACTCCTTCATTGAACTTTGCCTCACAGCCCTTTCCCCCACCTCTCAGGATCCCATTTTGAGTGACGGATGTTTAAAACGGGGTAGCGCACACCTTTAATCCCAGCACTCGGAAGGCAGAGGCAGGTGGATCTCTGTGAGTTTGAGGCTAGTTTTGTCTACAGAGTGAGTTCCAGGACAGCCTCAAAGCTACAGAGAAACCCTGTCTGGAAAAAAAAAAGTCACCAAGTTACTACATTCCTTTCAAAGTTTGTTTCTATTTCTTCCTCAGGCTACCTCAGGAAATTTACACCTGGTTTGCCTCTTGCTGTTTCAGTCAGAACTATGTACATCTTGCCGTTCTAATAATATGAATCTCTAGAAACATTCCAGTAGATTAACCAGAAAATAGGCTAAAAATTAGTTCCTGTAAGTCACATGCAAGTTTAGTGCTATTTGAGTATTTGAGTATGAGAACCAGGGAACACACATTCTGGCCTGTCAATCTCGACTTACAAAAGCAGCTTTGGTTTCCTGCATGAGTACAGGCAGGCACACCTGTGTTCTATTCAGGAATTCAAGGGCACAGCTGTCCAGCTGTCACCTTTTCTTCTTTTTAGACAGGGTTCTATGTAGCATCCCAGGCTGACTTCCAGAAGAGGGCACCAGATATCATTATAGATGGTTGTGAGCCAACATGTGGTTGATGGGAATTGAACTCAGGACCTCTGGAGGAGCAGCCAGTGCTCTTAACCTCAGAGCCATCTCTCCAGCCCATGCTGATCTTGAGCTGGTCTCAAATAATCCTCCTGCCTTAACCCCCAAAGTACTGGGATTACATGTGCGGCAATGCTCAGTCACATTGATCTTAACTTTGTAATTACCAAGGAAATAGGTGTTCCTTAACAAAAATATCACTACATTAATGAGGAACATGGAGCTACACAGGGTAAGTTGTCATATAATATTTATTGAGGGGGAAGTAACTTACATGAGAAGCCAAGAACCTGAGGTCAACGCTCTACTGGTCTCCGAACCTCAACCCTGAGAGTGGTGGCCCCCTTCCTCTTAGCACTTTATGCACAGGGAGGGGGTATAGAAGATCTCTCCCTACACTGCATGTTAGTAAGCTGCTACTCATTACATGTGTGCCATGGCTTCTCCCTGAGAGGCATGAGCAAAGCCCTCTAGTTAAGACACTGAGAGCAGGCAGACAAAAGTTCTACTTGAGTCTGGCATGCTGAACCAACCAGCTCACTGGGGTTACTTATTGAACACAGGTGACTCAAAGCAGCTGCATCTTCATAAAACCCACCACCAGCTCAATCTCTGCATCCCTAGAGTCCTTCTCCAGTTGAGAGTAGTGACACTTAAGAAAATCTCCTCCAGCAGCAAATGTTTAGTGCTTATATAAGAGATGGCGGGGAGCGTGATAGCCTGTGAGTCTTATGACTTTCAGAGCTTCCTGGGCCTTGCAAATTTATTTTACTTCCTGAATCTTATGCCTGGCTCCTAGGCGGGACTTTTAAATTAAGAAATAACCATGTTCTGATTTGCATCTATTCCAAGACTTTCTCCCTCGTTTTTATTAGAATTTATTTATTTGGTTTGTGTGTGTGTGTGTGTGTGTGTGTGTGTGTGTGTGTGCGCGCGCGTGCATGTGCGTGCACAGGTACATTAGTGGAGGTCAGAAGACAACTTGTTAGCACTAAGCCATTCTGCCAGCCCCTCCCCTCATTTCATGTATGTCCTACCCCTTTCCTAAACACGTGACTCTCCTCTCTTTTCTTGGTGCAGCCCCCTAGAGGTTCCTTATCACACTCTCCCTGTTGACCTGACCACATTAGATTAGATTGACCTAGTAGGGTTTGGCTGTTAGGAACTATCCTCAAGGATGAAAGAAAGAAACCAGGCACGGTAGCAAGTAGCTTTAGCACCATCACTCAGGAGAGAAGCAGGAGGATGGCAAATTTAAGGCCAGCTTGGGCACATAGGCAGGCTCTGTTTCTAAAACAGAAGAAAACAAAACCAACAAGTTAGAGAGATTTGTGCTGCCTATACTATGGGCATGAGACACATCAGTCTAAACTCTTGGCAGCCCCTGGAGTTCATGATCCTTATTCCTATTTGGCAACTCTTCAGAATGACTCCCTTGTAATTTTTGCAATCTGCTGCTTCTGTTAGGACATCTATGTGTCAACCCCCATCTGACAGCCCTGGGGAGGCAGGGCTAAGAAGACAGCTGGATACCTGGAGTGCTTGAAGTGGGATTACTACTACTCTGTGGATACCTTTATGCAAACTCACATGTGGGTATGTCACAGAAAGGGACCATATGAGTCCAGTCAAACGGCCAAGAATTTCTAGTCTGATAAAAAAGGAATGCTGCTAATTGCTTCAGTACCGGAATGCTCACCTGGAGCACCTCAGCCACTTAGTAATTTATTCTCTGGCTATTCCAAAAAGATGTGCCCTTTAATACATGTGCATCTGCCATGGTATGGATATCCCCTCTGAAACACCTGATGAAATTTCCTTGCCGTTAGCACCATCCTGGGAGGGGACCTCTAGGAGATGACTAGGTCATGAGACCATCACTGCCAAGAGTAAGCTAAGCTGTTATTACAGGACTGGGTTAGCTGTAAAAAAGCAGTTCAGTTTCCCTGGCTCCTCCCACCCCCCCCTTCACGTGCCCAGCACTGGGTGAAGCACTCTCCCAGGTTAAAGCACAGCAAAAAAGCACTGTGTGTTTGGTTTAGGTGAGCTATGACCTAAACCAAACTGAATTGTAATCCTCCTGCCTCTGCCTCCCAAATTTGGGGATTACAAGCATGTGACACCGTCTATCTTAGTTAGGGTTTCCGTTGCTGTGATGAAAAC